GTTGTACCAGCTCTAAACGTGAGAGCGAGGCCTGGCTATCTCAGATCAAAAGAGAGTTACAATAATCCAGACGTGAAGTAATAAAAGTGTGGATCACTGTCTCTTAAGTGGTGCCTAAAAAGGAGGTGCTTGATTTTTGACAGGCACCTCAGCTGAAAGAAAGAGGACTTAACCATGCTGTTGACATGGTAGTCAAGTTTCAGGCAAGAGTCCATTTTCATCCCTAAATTTGTAACAAAGGATTTTTTTGTATGGGGGCCAAAGAGGAAAAATCAAAGGTGGGGAAACTGCTAGGACCACTGGATTTTAAGATCATAACATCTGTTCTATTTTCATTAAAATGGAGGAAATTAAATGCCATCCATCCTCTAATGTCATTGAGACAGCCCAGGAGAGACTGAGTGGATCCATTATGTTTCAAAGGGAAGTAGATTTGACAGTCATCCATATATAAATGCTTTCTGAAAATAGAACCCAGTGGCAGAAGATAAAGTGAGAACAGGAGAAGACCAAGAATAGAACCCTGGGGTACCCCTCAAGGGAGAGTAGCAGAAGCAGAGGTAAAATTATCCATCATCACACTGAAACTTCTATCAGAAAGGTAGGACCTAAACCACTGAAGAGCTGAACCAGTGATGCCCACCCACTGCTCCAGTCTGGAGATGAGAATGTCATGGTCGACTGTGTCGAAAGCAGCTGCTAAATCTAAAAGCACAAGCAAAACACAGTTTCCAGAATCCAGTGCTAAAAATATGTCATTAAAACCCCTTAAAAGAGCAGATCCAGTGCTGTGGTATGTTTTGAATCCAGAACAGTGTTGACTGTATTGAAAAGAACACGGAGGTCATGAGAGTGGTAGCACGGTGGTGCAATTGGTAGAGCTGCTGCCTCTCAGTGAGCAGGCTACTCCAGTTCAAATCCCAAAACCAACTCTCTTTCAGTATATCAAAAGAGATATTCAGATGCTGATCTGTTGTGATAAACTTTATTATGTATTTCTGGGACTAAATTAAAATTTTTATAGATTTTTTCCACTAACTGTCGGTTTTTGCATCAGTGCAGTATTACTGGTTATTACTATAGTAATTTGACATCACTTTAACAGTAACTCTGTCTCTATTTTTGGAGAGTAATTCATGTCATTCAAAGAGAAAGAGTATCCAGTAACTGTTGGAGCAAAACGTGCCTTTCTGCAGAAACACAGACAGCACACTGACCATGTTTCAGACCTGAGTATCCTCTGAGGTAATTGTTAGGACTTCCAGACGATCTGTGGAGACTCCGCTCCTGCTGCGGTTGTGAGTAAACATCAGGGACTGGCACAGACCTCCCCTCCAGTGAAATATTGATTTTTTTCAGTGTTATGGTGGAGAGGAGCACAAGCTGTGACCGTTTCACTTCACTCTACAGAATCGTTGTGTGAGGAGGCCACCAGGAGGCTGCTGAGGCTGAGGTTGGGGCTGCAGGTTGATTTCAAAGCTCCTCGCTGACTCCAGATCAGTCTCTCGTTGAAGGAGGCCGTTATAAAATGTTACTCCTTATCTAAAATTGTGCAGTTAACATCTCTAATTTAAAATCTGAATTACAGCAACGTTTGAAAGCGGATGTAAAGATTTCTGATAATGAATGCAAACTGGCCTCTTTTGTCTTATATAATCTGTATAACACAGTTTTCTGTACAAATTATTATTTTTAAGTTAATTAAAAATTATTTTGAAACGCTTTAGTCCTACTGTGATACAGTTTTAAACCATCTAATTACATCAGTGTTTCAGTTTTTCATTTGCATGTGATGAGAGAAAAGTCATTAGAGTTTGAATGTGAGACGTTATGTAAAAAGTAAGAGAACAATAGAGACAAAACAAAGGGGCAAGCAGCACAAAGCAAATATTCAGATGGTACTTTATCACTCATACTGAGAGCAAATGTTCATAGAAGTAAATATTTGTGGCATCACAGATTTTTTCACCTCAGTAATACACATTTTACAGTACAACATTCATATTAGCAACTTAAAATGTTTGCTTTGGTCTGATATTCAGTGTTTTCTCTGTGTAGGGTTTTAAATGTGACTTTTTTTTACAGGAAGTCTGAACATGCGTGGATTTATTTTAGCAAATGATGGACATGATGGAACCAGTGACTTATACAAATAACTTACAGATTTACTTAAACAAATATTTATGAATTGACTCCATGAATCTGTGTAGTGTATCTTTATAATGGAGCTGTTTTGTTCTTTTTTTTATATAATTTCTTCCATTTACTTTTCATTTTATATGCTTTTATATGATTGCCTACTGTTGTCATCTGTGTTCTTTGTTTAAATCAGTTCTTTCTTGTAGATGAGTCATCGAGGCTCAATGAGAATAACCTGTAAAAATAAAGGTTGAATTGAAGAAGAAGAAGAAGAAGAAGAAAAAAAAGAACTTCTATTGTTCAGGATTTAAGCCAGTCTGTTTTTTGGCAATTCTGTGATGTTTTATTTATTTTTTTTTTTTTACTTTTTATTTTTTTAGTCAGATGCTGTGAACTAGGGATGTGTGTTTGCATCTTCAATTACAAAAGTCCAACCTACACACACTCTCAGTGCACTAATAGGCTGTGACTCTGTCAGTCACATTGTAACATAATACATTTTCTAAATTTCAAATAAGTAATTAAAACAAAAAGCATTTAAAAATATTATATCTGAACAAACAGCAGCAAAGTAAATGCTATCTTTCGTTTTCACGACATGGTGGGACTTGTTTGTTCTGCAGCCACTAGAAGGTGCTCCTTTCTTCATTGTGGCTTCATCTTTCTGCTATCGGTCCTTCATCCATCCATCCATCATCTTTACCCGCTTCTTACTTTCTGGGTTGCAGGGGTCACTGGTGCCCATGTCCAGCTATCACTGTGTGATAGGCAAGGGACATTCTGGACAGGTCTCTAGTCCATCACTGGGACACACAGAGACAAATGAGACAAATCATGCACTCTCTCACTCACACCTAGAGACACTTCAGAGTTACCAATCAGCCTAACATGCATGTTCTTGGTCTGTGGGAGGAAACCGGAGCACCCGGAGAAAACCCACACATCTAAATATAAAAACGTGAATGGTTTAAATGTGCTGCAACAACTTTGTACTGTAAACTGTCACAGCTAATCATTTAGGCCAAAATAAAAATGGCATGGAGTTTAAACTTGATCAAATGTGCATTTTTAGGTTATAAACATTCAGTCCAACATACATTTGACCTTGTTTAATGTTTAATGATCAAGAGTTAGGTGTGGAAATGTGGTCCTAATATCCACCTGTTCATATGTGTATGAGTCATTCTGATATTTTTTCTGCACTTAATCCACTACAGTCCCCCAGAAACTTGTCAAATAATAAAATACAAGCCATGCACAGGAGTTGTACACTGAATTGGTGGAAACAGATCATAAATCATGACAGCCTTAGGCTAGCAGAGGCTAATGCTAATGCCCACAGCTCATTATTGTGACTTTTCATTAAAACTACCTGTAATTATCTAAACGTCTCTAATGTAAAGTGACTCATCACCTCCTCGGTTTCAGCCATGGAGCTCAGAAATTCTTTTAAAAATGTGAACTAAAACAAATAATCTAATCATGAAACATTTTTAAATATGGCTCAAAGCAAACCCCATCTCAACTGTTTAAATGCTGCGCAACTCACATTGAATTATTTTGCATACCTGTCACAAAAATAAAAACTACTGTGCTGGTAATGTTCATAATTTTCATAATGCATATTCCAGCTTGTCTTGCTGGTGTTTAATTGCACAACACCTGACTGAATATGCTGCACATGTGTGCTGCGTTCAACTCATGTTTAAAACACACGGCTTGTCCCAGCATCACCGGCCTAATTTATTATGTAGTACCATGATGTAGTGACGGAGGGAATAATGTGAACACCATCAAAGGAAACTAAACTCTTGTAGTTTTTTTATTTTTTTATAGGACTATAATACAAAGTCCAGTTTGTAATTAATCTTTTTATATCTTCACATTGTGACAAAATATTCTGCTATCTACGTTAATTTAATTTAACTCAGGTTACCAAGTCAAACTGGAGACAGCTGCCTGTAACTGGTTATATATTTGCAGGTTTCAGTGTTCAGTTCTTTTATTTTTTACTTTGATGTTAGATATTATTAGATACACTGCTGCCTGTGTAGTTTTATAGTATATCTACTTTTATTTCAAATATCACAAGTTATTATTGGTTTTGTATTTTCATCATTCCATCTAAACTGCAACGCTCTCATCAAAACTACTAAACAACTAACCTACTTTATAATTCCAGTACTATTATAAATATACCACAATTAATTAGTTATTTTAAGCATATTTTGATATTGTTGTCCAGCTGTTTTCATTTGCCATCTTTATGTTTTATATGTAGTTTCCTATTGGACAAAATAATTTGTTGTTATTTGCATTTTAACTGCAGGTTTTTCAACTCTGCTCACATAATAAAACAATGTGATGTAACAAATGTTATCTAAAAACTGAAAAGTGGAAATTTGGGACAGGAGTTTTTATTTTATTTCATTATTTTTCTGTCTGCCATCCCCTCTTCTGCAGCGTCGCAGCACCGCTCGCTCCTCCGAGGCCTTATGTAATCCTGGCACCGGCTCGGCCGTGGTCTCTGTGAATTCCTGCTGTTACTGGATAGCCTGTGGTCACCACGCCGAGTGTAGGTCAAACATATCAGAGCGCAGCCATCGGGAACATCTATATCTCCCCCACCTCCGTGTCACCATGGAGGCCACTCCGAGTTTTCGTGCTGTTGTAGGAACATGGCGCTTTGGCTCAGGAAACAAAGAGCCCAGCCAGAAGCTACAGACTGGAGCAGCTGGGGCACACGTGGCCCGCTGGTCAGGGAGAGTGTTCATTAAATGAATCTTTTAAATGGTTCTTTAATGAGACAAAACAGGCTACACCAAAAAAAGCACTTTTTCAGATTTTTCTCTTCTTTTGTTAGAACAACTGCACTCTTACATACATTTTTACAGTCGTGGACTGTAACACCACACAAATCTATACTCAATGGCTTTTTAGAGTTTTACTTGAAAATGTTATTCTGATATATGGAAATAGTTGCTTCTGTGTGTAAAAGCTTGAGGTTGTGCTTACTTTGCAGAAATGCCCTCGCCCTTTGACCTGTGACCTCCGGAGTTGAGAGGAATTCACAACAAAACCCTAAATGAACATCGTCCACTTGTGGTCTTTTGAATTGAAGAACATGCTTTTTCTCTCTTTTTTTCGTTTTTTTAGAATATTACATATCTTATTTGTCACATACAAAAACAGAGAAAGTCCTTTATGTACACCCTCACGTCTCTCTCTTCCTGCATCAGTTCTGTTGTCGGGCTGAGCATCAGTCCAGTGTTGTGATTGGTTTCTACGTGTTCTCTAATCATGCAGCTCACAAGAAGGAAAATAGTTCTCGACACTAATCTTTAAAGATCCTTTGAAGTTGTTGGTCAGTTCAGCAACAGAGTCTCACAAACTGGAGAAAACAGTGGTCCATCGGGTTTCAGTTTGCAGGATTTTTCTCTGTTTGCCATCAAAACATGAATTTCCAGTCTGCGTCACATCCTGGTAGTTTACAGATGGAACAGAAGGAGAGGGGGAGAAGCTGGTTTGATGGGTCACTGCAGGAGTTTTCCCTTCATACGGGTCGATCCACAGCATATTGGCAGGGGCTCAGGTTGGACACGGGGTTCTGGACTGCAGGGTAAGAGAAGTTGGCATGCTGCTTTGCTTTGAGCCGCAGGCTGGCCAGACTGGAGTTACAGGTGTCTCTGTACATGTAGGGGCTGGCGGTGGTGGCGTAGGGGCACGTGGCCGCAGTCACCGCCACAGAGTTGAGAGCTGTGGGGCTGTTGAGGTTGTTGAGGTTCCCCAGGTTGTTGAGCCCGGTGGCAGGAACTCCAGCCACCGCTGAGGGTACCATGCCAGAGGCCATGTTCATAGAGGGAATGGAGCTTGTGGGGGAGAACATGGGCTGGGATGACAGGGGGGTTACATTCATTGAGTTAAAGAAAGGGAAGCTTTTGGCAGACAGTGGGCTGCTTGCTAGGCTCTTGGTGGCCCAGTTGTTGTAGGAGTAGCCTGTGTACATGTCGTCATAGGGCTGCATGAGTCCGTTGAACTGGGCACCAAAGCCATTTTTGCACAGCTCTGCCTGCTGGTTCCTTTCGCGTTTTCTCCACTTGGCACGCCGGTTTTTAAACCATACCTAAGACAAAACACAACCAAAGAATAAGGAGTGTGTACTTTGATACTGCTCTATAATGCACTATGTATGTATGTATGTATGTATGTATGTATGTATGTATGTATGTAT